GAACGCTGCACAAATGATAACACTGCATTGTGATAAAAACGGATTTTACAGTGTCCGTAAGAAGCTGCTCTCTTCAGAACAACAACATGAACTGTGCTGATATTTGCTGAGAATAACTGTAAACCTTCTCCTCATTGAAGAGTCAAGATCAATAGTGTGCCATACTTAATAAATATAAAGCAGTACTTTTAATTGTTTGATAGTCTAGTAGGTTTTGATTAAAATTTCTCTGCTGGTAGAAAAGTTTTAATATTTTATGGACATTTGAATCTGTACTTAAGTGTTCAGTTGTGCTTGCTTATTATTATCTCCTACAAATGACCCAGGGGTCTAGAGAAGGACATTATTTCATTCCAGTATTTCATAAACCATTGGAAGGCCCAAACTGGAATAGAATTGAAAGGCCAACGAATAGAATCTGACTTTGCAACAATCCTGTTGTAGAGTCCTGTTTCCCAGACCTTTCAATTTTAAATTTATACTTTGTTCCTTTATTTTTTAAAGACAGATGCATGTACATGCCTCGTTTTGAAGAAATGCATTTATTGTTTATTAATATAATCTGCCAGGAAACACATTCAAAAAGCCAAACCCTAATTTGGAGCCATTCTTTAAGGTTTCAAGTTAAATTATTTCAGCCCGTTGAGTAGGCAGACTTTCTATTTCAATGTCTTTGACAGGTGCTGGTCTCTTTTCTTTGTACACAATTTCATATTCTAGAAGTCTCAGAATATAAATGACTTGAGTTTCAACATAACATGATGTTAGATTAAGCGGTGTATTTTAAATGTTCTCTGTTCTGTTCAGCAGACCTTGGGAATGTTTAAATTAACTGCAGATTTAGAAAAGCATGACAGAAAATAATTTTGGAGGAACAAGGACACAGGTGCAGGACAGAGCAAAGTTTGCAAAAAAAAAAAATTGCATACAAATTCTGGCACACAGCTTCATTCCAAGAATAAATACACAAAACATCAAAAGAAGCAGTGTGTGGGTCATATTCTTGTCTGTATATGTTTTTCTTTTACACACCTGTTTAAAGGTTGTTTGGGAGTGCAGATGACTTTTTATTCGATCTGAGGTGGTATAAACAAAAATTAGACCAAAATGTCCCTGGTTTGTTTCTCACATTTGCTTGTACATTTGCATGGCAGCAGGGAGGATAGCATTGCTTCCCTCCTGTGGTGGGGCCCTGGGCTCAATTCTGGACCTGGGGCACTATCTGTGTGATGTCTGGATGTTCTCCATGTGCATATGTTGGTTTCCTTCCACAATCCAAAGACATACTGGTAGGTTAACTGTCTTCTGGGGAAACTGGCCCTGGTGTGAGTGTGTGTCTGTCTGCCCTGTGATGGACCGGCATCCCATCTATGGTGTCGTGTGCCCACTGCTTGCTGCTCTGGCAATCCTGCATCCGAGCCTGACCTGGATGAAGCTGTGAGAAATTGGGTGGATGGGTTGCTTGTGTTTGAGTTTTGCTCACAATGGCCTTAATTGAAGACTTGACCAAATATTTTGTATGATGAAGTCTTGTTTCCATCCTTTTTGTAATGGGGGCAGATTCCACATTATGTTGTGGCTTTTATAGGTAAGTCAATAATTCCAGCTGTTTAAGACCTGGAAACTTTAAAGCTCTAATTTAATAAACTTGGTTGAATCAAGCATTCATTTAAGCACGTTCCCCAGGGACGAAAATGGCAGCTTGGTTTCTAACAGCTGCAGCTGCATCCATGGAACAACCAAGATATTAGTTGCCTATGAATTATTTTCTCAAAAAAATCTTCAAGGCCTTTATTAGAATGTTCTCACGCCTTCCTCCACACATTCTCAGCTGATACTGTCTAATAAATAGGCCTTAGGCTGTTTCATGTGACCACAGTACAATCTGGATCCACTGGTTGAAGAAGCGATGTTTGGTAAACATTCATCAGAAGGAAAAAACAGAGAAGAGAAAATAGTTCAATGATTTGAGCTACACTGCTGGTGCAACAAACACGAAATGGGTAACATACAGTATGTTGGGGCACGCCTTCATTTCAACTTTTTAATGCAAATCATCCCACCCTCAAACACAAATATCAGTATTATTAGTCATTTACCTTTTCCGTCCCATACGGGCGTTGAAATTCTCAGTCCTCAAATCGGTAAAAAGATTAGGAATATTCAATGCATGAAAAGGCAGTTGTTTTTCCAATGAATATCACGCATTGGTGAAACATACCAATGTCTCATTGTGGAAGATTTTATAAATGCATGAAAGTAAAGGTGTAAAGGTGCATCTGACAGCCTCCTGTGATACCGAGACAATCTTTTAAAATGGACACTTGAAGGTCATGTCATGCCTGCTTTGGCTTTTGAAACTCCTGTCTGTAAGTTCTCTCTAAGGTCTAAGACTGACAGCAGTTATCCAAGTGTTATTTTCACCATATACAGTCTCATACACATTTAAGAAAAGTACTTTTTCCATTTTGGAGTGAATATATAAGTGTGACTGCGTCCAGGTGTGATAGGTTGGGGAACATACAGTACTACAGCATTTATGTTTCCAGCATGCTTAATTCCCTGGTTTATACATTGTGCATAGATAATGTGAGTCAAAAAATATTTCAATTACATATCCTGCCTAATAAGGGTACCATGCGTTGCTTGAATAAGGTGTTGAATTTAGCAAACCTTCACCAGCACACATTTAATTGAAGGTTAATGATGTTGTTTGGAATTAGTCTGTAACAAGATGAGGTAAATGGTGAATCACACCCACTGGGACTTGAGTCATTGATTGTGGAAAAAACCCAGAGCTCATATTGTGGAATTAGTCATGACCATTCTCACCTGTCTGTATACCTAGGGGTGGTCAGCTTTTCCAGTAAAAAAAAACTTTATAAGCAACAGGGAAAAATTCTCCAAATGGCAGACGTATATTAGCATAGTATATTAGTCTGTGACTATCTCAAACTATATTTGCTATATTTTTAGCTTATGAAACAGTGGCACATTAATTTTAGGCTTCTCCTTTCTAAAATAAACACCTTCACTACATGACTAACAACATTAATTCATTGTAACTTGTCACATACTAAGCACTAAGCAGCAATGCCAAAATCACCTATTTCATTTGGTTTTTCCAATAATCTTTTTACCAACACACATGGTATTTTTTCCTTCCCTGTACCACAGTGTCTCTAAAAATGATAGGATCACCAAAAGCTAACAAATGAAGATCCTAACATGAAAGCCTCTTTAGAGCATGGAAGAGATCTCGAAAGAATGAAGAAGTACATTTTAGGTCTGTTACGTTCTATATTATAATCACAACGTACTTACATTGTGATTTTCAATGTATAATGTACTTCCTGTTCAACTATCACACCAGAACACTCTTCTTAGGGCTTTATTTGTGTTGTGTCTCTCTCTAGCGGATTTCGGTGGAACAACTGTTTCTACGTGCCTTGCCGAAAAGGTTGATCGCAGATAAGACGCGTTCTTCAGCAAAAGAAATTCTACACGATGATGCCATGGAAATAAACATTTGAAGCAGATAAAAGGTTGAGAACCTTTGTGGATAACTGGCAAAGGTCATTTGCGGAGATCCCGATGATGCCTAGTGTGACGAGTAAGTGAATTTGCCACAGCAAGCAAGCAGTGTTTGCGTGTGCTGATGTCATTGGTTGTGCTGGGAGTCGGTTCTGGACCTCTGCTACAGTACTTCGTGACAGTGTGTTTTCCGAAGGCCGAGGGAGGGACTCAGTTTATTTCTCGGGCAGGTCCGCTTACCTTTGTCTCTCACGGCAAGGTTTTTAATCGATGGAACATGGTAACCTTTCCCACGATGTATGACTGTTTCCTTTGGGAGTCTTTCTGCACTGCAGACATGTGGTTGTAAAAGGAGGGTGACACACCTGTACATTGTCTGGTGGCTGTTGAACTTGATGGTACCAAAGTTTAATGTGAAAAATCAACATTTGCCTTGCCTGTTCTACAAACTGATAGCAATCAATTCATTTTGTTACTAGATGATTCTTTATTCTGTTTAATGTGTTTTACTTAAGAAATAACTCTTCTTGAGAGACAAAAGAACCCCTCCAAAAAATAAAATAGATGAAAGTTTGCTCATTGACCTAGACTGAATAAAAGAGACTGCTTACTTGCTACACCATAGGCAAACAATCAGATTCTTTTCATTTCCACTGATAACACTCTACAGCCAGTGGTCTGGTTTCTAATGGAACGACATGCATCTACTGACGTCATCATGACTGTTTCTCGGGGAATACTGTAGGCTGTTATTTTCCTGTGTGCAGGCCCATAAACACTCTGTTCAGTGGATATACATGAAGAATTATGCCCCAGTCAAGATGCCATGGGATATAAATTTAAATATTTATAGAATATTTACATTTTGTACTGGGGAAATGTTGGCTTGTAAATCACCCAGAGGGCATGTCACATGCTGTTATTCCTTTTTTAAACACGTGACGACTTCTGATCCCTGTCTTCACAGCCTGTGTTTTTCATGTACAGTACAAACAAGTCCTTGGGGAAAAACAACTTGTCACCATGCCTGTCAAAATCCTTCTTATTCTTAAGATTTCTTAATATGAGTTCTGAAAAGGGGCTTGGGATCATCTTTCCTGGTAGGGGGGATGGAGAGGTACGTGACACAAACACGGAGAAGGGGCTCAGGGCTCTGGTCCTATCTGAACATCTTCATGTTCTGGGGTCTCATCCCTTGCAACATTTCGTGTTCTAGGGGAAGCTTAGAGGGGGCAGACAGAGGAGGAGGAGACACCCACACCTTCCTTTGGCATTGCCACTGGCCAGGAAGAACATATTTTATTCTAGATACGTTTTCTTTGTCTTCTTCACTTGAGAACGATCCCAACTTCAGTGGGAATAGTCCTGAAGCAGAGCAGCTCCCGACAGAATGGCTGAACGAGGAAGGGACCTCCCACCTAATAGACGAGTTCTAACCCAAATGAGACGATCCAATTCCAAGCTCGCACTGTATAGTTGCAATAGGCTTTATTTGTACATCATGACGAGCAAGAAGTGCCGAATTTGAAATCTAATACTATTCAAAGTTTTAAATAAGCTTTAATCCTACAGATGCAGTAGTTGTTTTTTTTCAGCTATCAGTTCTTTCGGTCAGGTTTAAGGGAGAAATATACAGAAATAATCATTTCTAACAGAGGAAGTCCGCTTGGAACCAGAGGGATCTGATACAAGCTCTTCCTCGTGGCATCAGTATCTTTCAGTTCTGCGCACCTGTAACCGTGGTGACCAAACTGAGTCAGATTAACAGGGAGTGCCATTTTGCGATTGGCTGACGCAGGCACTGCATCATCAGGCTCCAGTGCTCGTCCTCGCTGGCTTTTCTCTTCCTCACGACAGCCTGTCCAATCAAGCGTTTGGACTTCCTTCTTTTTGTGCTCGTCTCAAACACGGTGACGGCAATGACACATTCCCTAATGTGGGGCTCGGGCAGCGAAAAGGTCATGATCTCGTTGAAGACGGTCACGTCCTGTTTTGACTTCTGAGGTGTCTTCTGAGTCTTCAGCCTACATTGGTTACAGGAGATGCTGGTTCTGGCATAGAGTGCTGGAAGACAAGGACATGAAGAGCTAGAGCATGAAATAAAGATTGGTCTCTGGTGTTAAAATGTCTTGGGATGGGAAGCTACAACACGGGGTATTTGTGACTGAGTTTGCTCCTATTCTTGGCATTCTTGTTTAGTGTTAAGCCTTGTGCCAGGATGTTTCGTCCTTGTATTTCCAAACCAATACCACTTAAATGCCATAATTAGTCTGTTGTTCTTTTAATAATGCTCAACAGGGTATCTAACTATTTACCTTTTAAAGCAAAATTTAGTATTACTTCAAGTCCATTAGTTTGCATGTTTGCTTTTATAACCTGTGAAAAATTAATAGACTTAATTATAAGGAATTACAGGTATATTAAGTCAGCATAGCTACAATCACATCCCTGCCAGATGTCAGTACAGTACTCTATTACAGTCACTTTATTAGTCTTTAGCCTCTGTTGTCTCTCCCGTGTGCCATTCCAGTCGCTGACTACAATGACTACAATTGAGAAGGGGCAACTTGGTCCATCTTTTGGGAAATCTAAGGCTCTCACACAGGTGTTTCGCGAAGAAAACCAGAGCATCAGCTTCAACAACATGGTTGCAAAAAAATACTGTTCTCAGTTTTACGTTTACATCTGTGTAGTTTAGACTTCTATAAAAACAATTTCAGAATGTAGAT